TCCACAAAATAACGATGAAGATTACATTATTTATAAAAAAAAAATAAAGTGTTCATAAATTATTGTGAGCTCGAGCTGACGTCTCATTTCCAGTGTGACAAACTAATCAGAATATCACATGTGAAATTTTACTCTTATCTCTTGTTTTATTAATTAAGAGGTTTATATGTAATATGTTTAATAATAAAATATTTTATTTCAAGTGTTTAAACATTTACAAAATAATTTGGGGAAAAAATGTGTCTTTTTATAATACCAATATTTTAAAAAAATTATTACAATAATAATTTACTTAAAAATATAATCAAGTACTGAAAAACCTGGTGCAACATTTAGAGTAATTACAGCAGCCATGTATAACAACTTAAATTTATAAATATTTATTTTTGTTTAATAAAATCAAATCAAATTAAATAAAAAATTATAAAAATTATTTTAAAAAATTTTAATGAAAAAAGCAACAAAAAATGTCACTGGCAGATAATGAGCTGCTCATGTGTAAGAATACAGTAACAAGCCTCACTCTAAAACATGCAGGGCATATTTATTTAAAAATCGCAGCCTTTGCGATTTAATAATAACACTAAGCCATGTCGCAATTTTGTTTTTATTTTTATTTATTACTCGTGCAGCCCTGTAAAAATTACTGTGGTACATATTACACATGAATATTGCAAATTCACAAAAAATGACATACAGTCCAGCAACAAGTGTCTTACCAGCATAAGCGTGCGTACTGTCCTGATCTTATTGAGCTCCAGCAGAAGCCTCTGGGCTTTCTCATGATTCCCACAGTACTCGTCGTAAATCTGAAACCTTCCTCTCTGAGCCACAAAAACACACAAAGACACAGCCAGTCACATACAGGTGGTCAGCTCTGGTAAGCTCTTTTAAAGCTGCATATGACTAACTATTTCTGAGATTTCACTCCTCATGCCCTTCAGCGTCTCTGAGGTTTTACCCAGAGGCAGAAGGAAGACTGCCAGATTGAATGCTAGCACAACAAAGTAGTGCCTTCATCCCAAAACCACAACACAGCATTGTCATTCAAAGCACCCTTGCAGTGTTCTACCCTCACAAATATAAAACTGAAATTTATATTTAATTAAAATGTTTAATTTTTTATACTGTGTGTATTGTATCCATCTAAAAAAACGCCTCAAACCAGTCTAAGCTTGTTACTTTACCAGCCTCAACTGTTGGCAGATTTTGGAGGGGTTTTGGTCACTTTTCAGCCTGTCAGGCTGAGAGTCCGGCTTAAACCAGCTAAGACCAGCTTAAACCGAGAAGGGTTTTTTTTCAGCAGGGATGTGGGATGTGTGTAATACAGTGAGAATAAGAGAGAGTGGCAGACAGAGACTTACAAAGTGCAGGAAGCAGCGTCCCACTTCATGATACGGGTTGGGGTCGGGCTGCAGAAGCTCTTCAACCATGGACAGGAAGTCCTTGTGCACAGACAGGATCTCTTCCAGGTTAGAAAACAGCACCTGTGGGCGAATGCATGGAAAGACTGACTTATTGACTGAGAAACATTGTCTGGATCTGGAAAACCAACAATGTGCTGCAAAAACTGAGGAGGAAAATGACTAAAAATGTCTGGAAGTGACTGTAACAGTCCATGCAACTCTCCTTAAAATATATGAATATTTTTAGATTGGACAGAAAAATATCAAACTAATATCTAACTTTAAATAAATATAGCATAAAAAACTGGTAGGTGTCAATGTATTAAACAATAGAAATATAGTTAAAACTTAAGACAATTATTAAGACATTTAGTGTGATATTTCATACCTAATACAATCACAGTCAGACATTTTAAATGTCTCTTAAGTGTCCCAAAACCTTTTGCGACCACTCTATATTAAGATAAGCCAGCTGTGTGCTATATAATCCAGATATTCAATAACTCTGAACTCTGAATGACCTTTGCAGAGCGAGAATCCCACACAAATGTCCTCAAACACTAATGTTCAGACATGCTCTAAAACATGCAAACAGCAGTCTGAGCTTGTTTACATGACTGAGTGTTCAAGCACTCACCGTTCTGTCCCACTGAGTATGCATTGAGTTTACTGTCACGCACCACTAACCATGCTGAATATTTATTGTTTACAACCGTTTGGTTCAGCCAAGCACCTACCCTTAAAGAAATAGTTCCCATTTTGCAAATCATAAATATGCAAATTTTGTAAATTTGCTCACTCTCATGTCTGACATATCATAATTCATCACAAGACATAAAGGAACTTGATTCTTGATGTCACTGATGTCAAACCTGGTGCAACGTTGCTAAGTGAGAACTACGGAAACATATAACAACCTAAATTATGGTCTGTTCCTCACACAAATATATTTATGACAGTAAAAGGCTTACAATATAGTGCACAAGTCGTATGCAGTGTTATTTTAGTATTATTTATGTATTATTATAATTTTTAATATGTTAAATTAGCTTTTTTATTTTTATAATTTTATATTATTTCATATTTTAATTATGTCATGCGTGTTTCTCATTTTTATTAGTTTTTGCTGTTTAAAAAAGAAAATTCTATATCCACCTTATTCCTAAACGCGGAAGTAATTCTATGGGCGAGACTTCCGGTTCATTAGCCGTTATAGGGAAATAACGAGAAGAATAACAACGTGCAGTAAACAGTAAAACTGTTTGCATTACAAACCAGTTTGTTCATAATTAAGATAATACATTAAAATAATAAGGTAAGACACACCAATCTGTAGTATCAAGCAGCAAAAGATTGTTTTTGTACAGCTAAAAATAGTTGGAAGTAGTGTTGTCAAAAGACCCGGTACTTCGGTACCAAGTCGGTACTAAAAAAAATGAAAACGTTACGGTACCAGGTTTTTTTAAGTACCTGTGGTACAGAGTACCCGGGCAACCCGGTTCTTGATGCGCTATCCGAAAGCTATCCTCTTCATAAAAGCACTGAGACATGGTGACCTCAAAAGGAGGAAGCATCAAACTAACTAACAAAATACTTTAAAGACCGACACCTGGATCAAATGAAAGAGTTCAAGCAGGTGAGTATCATTTTAATTTTTAATATTTAGATCTTCTGTTATGAATATTATTCCATATTTTAATTTGAATGTCGGATTTAAATAAACATCGCAGTTAGCGTAGTTAATCGTTAGCATACGTGCGGCTGTTTCCCATACATTGATTTATTTGTGGCACAATATTAAAACTGACCGCCACATATATTTTCCAAAAGGCTTTGACTTCTTAAATAAACATGAGCACTGCACATTTCAAAATCGAAACCTGGTGTGCGTGTTTTTATATCACTGTATTTCTGAAGGAATCCGACTGTCTTCAGAAAATTGTGGATGTCATTTTACCGTATTGACGCGAATATAAGACAATGTTTTTTCTTGGAAATACATCTGAAAAAATGCGGTCGTCTTATATTCAGGGTCTAGACTTTGACATGTCAATAATACACCCACAACAATAGGTGGCGCCAAATACGCATAAAACGTGAAAACGTAATGTAATGCGTGTTGTAAAGATCGCGAATAAAAACAAAAGAAGCAGAAAACCTTACAGCTGCATGAATCGTGACTGTCACGTTAGCCTGATGGGACCAAACTTCCTTTGTGATTTTAAAACGTAAGACAGTACCCAGATTTGAAGACTACAGTAAGATTGAACTTCTACTGTTAATAAGATTTTGGTAGGCTACTATTAGATGGATAGCCTAAATGTCCTAATTCAGATGGGCTACCTGTTTTATTTTTTTTAATGGTATATCAAAAAGTGTATATTTTTTTAATGTGATTGTTGGTACATTTGACCAGTTTTTACCATACTTTCAAAACACAAATTAAAATAGGAAAAATATGCAATACGAAAATAATTGAAGACAAAATGTGTTTTACTGAGAAAAAACAAGATTTGATTTTTAAAAAGCCTTTTTCCAAAAGGTACATCTTATAATCAGGGTCATCTTATATTCGGGCCAATACGGTAATTTCATCTTGCATGTAATGTCTGATAAAGCAGTGTTTGTGAGCGGAGCGCTGCTTTGTGTACAGCAGTTACCGGGGAAACCTCGACCTCTCCCGCTCTACAAGCGCCTCCTGCTGGCAGAGAATGAATTTGCATATATATGCCGCCACAAATAGAGTGCAAGTCTGTGGGAAACACTGCTCTTTATTAACTATTTAATGCTCCTATAACTTTTATTAGGGTAAAAAAACAGGAGGACATGATGGTATTTACTATTTTTTAAACACTAGAGGCTTTTAAATGAATTGTGAATCTAAAATATGTGTGTTAGAGAATGTACAAATGGTTAACATTGTTTACGTCATATCAGTCTGTCAGAAAAGCAGGTCTGGGCTTTTTTTTTTTTTTACTTAGTTGTTAATCTTGGCTGGATAAGTCTAGCAGGTTTTAAAAGCCCTTTAAAGTTAAATATGTGCACAGTTTGGATTAAATGAAAGTATAGTCAAATTGTATCTTCTGTATAGACTATACAATAAGATACCATTCATTAATATGACTTCATGTTATTATCGAACATCATCTTACAGTAAGTGAACAATATATTTTTACAACATTAATTAATGTTTTTGAATGTTATTTAATACAAACACTTGATCATTCATGTTTGTTCATTGTGCATTAAGTAATTTTAACAGATTGAACTTTTGATTTTATGTATTAGTAAATTTTGAAATTAACCCTAAGAAGAATATTTGCTATAACTATTGTTTATTCATAGGTCATGTTATCTAACACATGGAATTGTATTGTAAAGTGATTTTAATATTACAGTTTCCATCTATTTGATATACACTTGACTTAATATATATGTAATCTTATATAAATTTATTATAAAAGCTGAGGTTTGTTATTTACTGAAAATTATATTGTAGCTGTTGTCAATGATCTAATGTTGCATTTGGTCAGACTCAGTCCATTGCTTTACTTAAGAAAATATGCAATACGAAAATAATTGAAGACAAAATGTGTTTTACTGAGAAAAAACAAGATTTGATTTTTAAAAAGCCTTTTTCCAAAAGGTACATCTGGAAAAAGGGGGGTCATCTTATAATCAGGGTCATCTTATATTCGGGCCAATACGGTAATTTCATCTTGCATGTAATGTCTGATAAAGCAGTGTTTATCAGACTGTCACCACAGTTTACAGTTTACTTTTATTACTTGCAGAAAAACTTGAAACACAATTTTAAATAAGTATAAAGAATGCCATTGATTTTTGTACATGTGTTTTTTAATTTGCATGTTTTTGTGTTTTGCTTTAAGCCATAACTTCCACAGCTCCGGGCGGGGGTGAAATATCGTGCCCTCCGCCTGCGAGAGGAGGTCCCTCCTGACGGGAATCTCCCATGGAGAGCCGTCGAGACGGGAAATCAGGTCCGAGAACCATACTCGGCTTGGCCAGAATGGGGCTACTAACAGTAAGCGGACTCTGTCCTGGCACACTCTCTCCAGAACTCCTGGGAGCAAAGCGATCAGGGGAAAGGCGTACAGGCGAAGCCTCGGCCACGCCTGTACCATGGCATCCAGCCCCAGCGGAGCAGGATGAGTCAGAGAGCACCAGAGGGGACATTGCGATGTCTTCTGAGTCGCAAACAAGTCCACCTGAGCCTGGCCAAAAATACTCCATATCTGCCTCACTACCTCGGGGTGAAGCATCCATTCCCCGGGCCTCGGCCCCTGCCTCGACAGGATGTCTGCTACCACATTGACCTGCCCAGGAATGTGCATCGTTCTCAGCGAGAGGAGCCTCTCCTGGGACCACACGAGGATCTGGTGTGCCAATTTGTATAAATGGCACGAGCGCAGACCTCCCTGGTGGTTTATGTATGAGTCCACCGCTGTGTTGTTGGTGTGCACCAACACATGGTGACCTCTCAGGCCTGGGAGAAAATGTTTCAATGCCTGAAATACGGCCAGCATCTCCAGACAATTGATATGCCAAGTCAGATGGCGACCACTCCACAGACCGCGGGCAGGGTGGCCACTCAACCGGTGAGGGATGCATCTGTCGCTAGCGTCACGCGGCGACAAAGAGCTCCCAGCACCGGGCCCTGAGACAAGAACCAAGGCTTCCTCCACATGTCTAAGGCACGTAGGCATCTCCGCGTGACCTTGAACATGCGAAGCCGGTTTCCCCTCGAGGAGAACCCCCTGGTCTTGAGCCACCACTGCAGGGGTCTCATGTACAGCAGGCCAAGAGTAATCACGTTGGACGCAGCTGCCATCAGACCCAGCAGTCTTTGAAACTGCTTGACAGTGAGTGACTGGCCTTCTTTCACTCTCTTGACTGTAGTGAGGATCGAATCGATCCGAGCAGGAGACAACCGTGCCTGCATCGTGGTTGAATCCCACACCACGCCCAGATAGGTGGTTCTCTGTAATGGAGAAAGCACACTCTTCTTGGCGTTTAGTCTTAACCCCAACTCTCTCATGTGAGCGAGAACAACATCTCGATGTTGAACCGCTATCTGCTCTGAAGGAGCTAAAATCAACCAATCGTCGATGTAGTTGAGTATGCGGATGCCCTGGAGTCGCAACGGAGCCAGAGCAGCATCCACACACTTCGTGAAAGTACGGGGTGAGAGTGCAAGGCCGAAAGGAAGAACACGATATTGGTACGCTTTGCCCCCAAAAACGAACCTCAGGAACTTCCTGTGACGAGGAAGGATGGAGATATGGAAATACGCGTCTTTCAGATCGATCGTGACAAACCAGTCCTCGGACCTGATCTGAGACACGACTTGTTTGTGTGTGAGCATTCTGAACTTCAGTCGCATGACTGAGTGGTTCAATAGGCGCAGATCTAAAATGGGACGCAACCCCCCATCCTTCTTCGGAACAATGAAGTAACAGCTGTAGAACCCGGAGTCTATCTCGTGTGGAGGGACCACCTCGATGGCCTCCTTCCTTAAGAGAGTAACTACTTCTTGTTCTAATACCAGAGCCTGCTCGGGACCCATTAGTGTGGGGGTGACCCCGCTGAATCGAGGCGGACGAGAACCGAACTGGATTCCGTAACCTCTTCCTACAGTACGCAGGACCCATTGAGATACATTTGGCAGTAGCTTTCATGCTGCTAAATAATCTACTAAGGGAATCAGTCTCTCGAGACTGATTTCTGGTTTGCCCAGAATGGCTAGTTCGGTGTCTTGAAGCGTCTGCACGCCGACAAGGGACGACCGAACTAGCTGCACTGGGGACCTCCGCAGAGGCCACAAGCCTCTCAGTGCCGCTACATTGCCGGGCGGTAACTGACAGATATGCTCGCTGGAGCCCGCTGTGCCCTGGAACACCGGCAGGGTTGGCAGAACGATGCCCGGGGACAGATAGCTAGCTAGCGTCTGTTCAACCCGGAACCGAACTGGATTCCGTAGCCTCTTTCTACAGTACGCAGGACCCATTGAGATACATTTGGCAGTAGCTTTCATGCTGCTAAATAATCTACTAAGGGAATCAGTCTCTCGAGACTGATTTCTGGTGTGCCCAGAACGGCTAGTTCGGTGTCTTGAAGCGTCTGCACGCCGACAAGGGACGACCGAACTAGCTGCACTGGGGACCTCCGCAGAGGCCGCAAGCCTCTCAGTGCCGCTACATTGCCGGGCGGTAACTTGGAGGGCAGTGCCGGAGCCTTTAATGACGCTGCCATGCCCGGGGACAGATAGCTAGCTAGCGTCTGTTCAACCCGGGGCATCGCCTTATAGCCGCGCTCGGCTTGGCCCACGACCTCGACACCTCGGTGTGGAGGTCGGGGAAAAACGGCAGGCTCCGGCATGGAGGTGGCGGCCTCGCACGCAGGAAGCGTTCATCAAGCTTGCTTCGCCGCGGCTCGGTGGGCCAAACGTTTTTTAGCTTGGCCAAGGCACGAGTAAGCACCTTCACTAGCTCCTCATATTGGGGCGATTGAGGGGGCGAAACCTCTTTGACGTCCTCCACGTCAACCTCCTCGGAGGAAGACAGGAGAAGCATCGAGCCGTCACCCCGGGAGGAAGTAGCCGCAGAACGGGCTTCCGAACCCAGAGATCGGGCACTGGATCTGGTGGGTGAGGAAGGAGATAGGGACTCGCCCGTCTCCATTCCCTCCGCCAGATCCAACTGTGTGTATCCCCACTCGTGATATAACGTGGGCAGGGAGGAAGGCACAACCTATAACGTGGCTTGCACTCGCCCTTTGCATGCTTTGTCTTAGCGTGAGCCTTAGACATAGCTGCTTATTAGACTTTTTCTCACAATAGACAGACAACAATAAATATGACTGACACACACAGAGCGCTTCGCTGAATGACAGAAAGCTGACGCTGGCTCCGCCGCACGTGCTTTTATAGCTTCCTGGTCATGACGTCATCCGCCGTGACGTCCCGTTCAGCTATTGGACTGATTTCACATGTGATTCAGAGCGTGGGTCGCAGAAGGCGTTCCCCTAGCGTTTTCGACGCAGCTCGAGTTCCTGAAGAGGAACAATGGTTAAGTATTTACTTCTAAACCATTTGCACTCAGGAGTCGCTAGAACATTTCACAAATAATTGCAATAAACAGCAAGCAACATACTGAATTTAACAAAATGTTCTCACTATTTTCACCACAGCGCTATACTTTCCAAGGGTTTCAGCACATTTTGCTTTAACAATGTAATGTCTCTCAAAATCTGAAATACTAATTTCGCCTAATCACTTTTAAAAACTTTACAGAAAATAATAGAAAATGTAACTCAGTTCAAACAGATAACTTGTGCTCAGGCTGTAATTAGCCTCCTGGCTGGCTCGCCACAAAAAGGTATGTAACACTGGTTATCACTATATAACACAATACTATATTACACCAACCAGATGTCTATATGGGGCTAGGTTTGACTCTTAGGAGGATAGAAAAGAATTTTGGGCCAATTGGTATGAAATCAGCAAACAGTCGGCACATTTATTACACACAGAAATTAAATGAACAAATATTAAAGAAGGAAATTAATGTATAGATGTCTCAACATAACAATGTCAATGAGGTAAGGAAAATTTAGTGTTGAGTCCAGGTTATTCAATATTGAGTCCAATAAATAAATAAAGGAAGAAAATGTCCTTTTGGTTCCTTTGTTATCCGTAAGCAACATACTAAATTTAACAAAATTTTCAAATAGAGACTGAAATAGTATTTATTTAGAAAATTTTACTGTATACTTTATATACTGTATATATAAATAATCTTATATTTTGTTTAACTTTAAAAAAAGTTACCATGGCAACATTTCTAAGTTTCAAGTTTAAGTTCTAATCTAATGTTTATTTTATTTTAGCTTTATTTCAATTACTGAAAACTATTTTTAATTATAACAACAATACTGGTCTTATGGACCATATTTGTGATACTTTATGGTGTTTTTTGTCATTTTTTGAAGCTCATTTGCTTTCATTGTATGGAAAATACATCTTTTGAGTTTCATGGAAGAAAAAAGTCATACCGGTTTAGAACAACATTAGGGTGTTTAAATAAATATATAATGAACTATTCCTTAACAAATATACATTTTTTAAAGCTTGAATGCACCCCTAAAACCAATAGTGTGTCCAAAACTCACCTTGACAGTTTCCTCTGTGATATTCTTATCAATTTTAGACACAGCATACTGATTGAGGCGATGAAGAAGTACCTGTTGGGGACACAGGAAAGAGGAGAATTTAAATAGTCAGCAAACAGACCGAACTGTCTTCCTCCTGCACACGGTCATCTGTCTGAGAAAGACTGAGTTGAATATCCAATTGCACCAAGTTGGATGAAGAGGCCCTGACCGACAGAAACTACAGCAAACTGCAGCCAACACTAACGATCCAACATTAAATCCAATTTCACCTCCGGATCACAGACAGCAGGAAATACATAACAAATGCAATTTACAACCTTCCCAAGGAGAAGGAGAAAGATGCCACAATACTGGGGATCTGACAAAACAGGACTTGAGATAAAAACAACAGGAAGGAAGAGTGACTGCATTTGCCAAGAGACCAGAAATAATGAATACAGTAAATCTCAAGCACTGAGGTTGATGAATAGCTGTGTCCACAAGTCACTTTGCATGAAGGAAATTTGAGTAAACAAATAAATCCTATCATATAGTAAGATCTCTATTTGGAGCAGAGAATGCTGATGGGGAGAATCATTTCAATATAAGCTAAACTATTCACATCTTGTATCAGTGTATCACTGTGTCACACTTGCTTTTTCTATTATAAAACAGCCTGAGATAATTGGGCTGTCATGTCTGGATTATAAACATCTCAAAGCTCCATAAATAAAAGCGTGGTATCTTAGTTGTGGTTGTACATCTTGTTGATTTGTTAATATGAGCGAGGCGAAGGTGGTTAGAAGCTCATTCAGAAATGTTTGGTTTGTGAAATATGCATGCTAAATACATGGTACATGTTCAAACAAAGGCTGAAAGAACATCCTGCATCACGGACCCAGCGCTGTTGAACTGCTTAGAGGTTCATGATAATACAGTTCACATGCCAATTCAGTTCTCCATGTTTTTAAGCACAGTTCAGATTATAATACTGCCAAGATTACAATGATTTTTCTAAAGAATGTGACTAGACTATTTTCGCAACATACGTTGATATGGACATCAGTAATCTAATTATTTACCTTTATTCTAAATAAGACAATATTACGATTAAGGTGTTTACATGAGTTGCTTTTAGAATATTCCTTTCATGTTCCTGTTTTACATGTTATAGTACATAGATTGATTAATGGCACACGTAATTACGTCCCCACGTGACACCATCCGACGTCTCCTACAGAATTTCATGTATAAACATATAGTTCGTCTTCGTTATTATGCCATATTTGGGTGTTTAATTTTTCATTTTAGTCCTACAAGACGGTATTAATGTGATTAAGGTGTGTCCATGTCTATACTGCACTTCAATAATGTGACTAAAATAGGAATACTCCACATGTCTTAATTCGATTTGTGTTTACTTGGAGTATGACTTTAGCCGGATTAAGATAATCAAAAATCTCTGTTTACATAGTAGATTATTAATCAGAGTATTGTCTTAATCGTGTTAAAATCTGAATATTGTTGTCCATGTAAACGTACTCACAAGAGCTTTAAGAAAACTGTGCTAGAGGTTTTAAAACATAATAAATATAAATAAATAAAAACCATCATTCTGACCCCAAACATTTAAATTGTAGTATAAATTAATTACACTTCATTTAATGGGGGAAAAAAACTTTGCGCTATCTTTTCAGCTTATGTTTACTCTGATTGGCAATAAAAAATAAAATAAATAAAAATAAATATATATATATATATATATATATATATATATATATATCCTTTTTAATTAATTTCAAACCAAAGACTTTAAATACATAATTATCAAAATATATATTGTTAAAACTATTGAGATTTAATCACCTAGCACTACATGATCCAGTTCCACCATGTTATTTTGGACATACACCATGGTATCACTGTAGTATTGTTTTGCCATGGCATAATATAAAAGTACCATGATTTTACTCTCTGGACCTTCACGGCCACAATGCTAAAGAGCAAGAAAACCCTTTCCTGTGAATTTTTATTTTTTTTGGCAGACAGTGACTGAAGCATCTAGCTGGTACTAATAAGTCAAACAAAGTACAATCTACAGTCTTTTTTCTTGATTTGTATGACTCTTCATATAGATGAAGAGATTCAAAAAGTGCGATTTCACTGAAAATGATACCTGCAAAACTACAGTTTAATGACAGTACAGAAAACGAGGCATTTCCTGTTAGCATATCAGTCTTGGCTGTGCTGTAAACAGCTCGTCCTCACTTCTAAGTGAGTGGGTCTATAACACTAGGCCAAATAACCAAAGAGAAGCCCTCAACCGGCAAAATAATCACATGCAAACTGAATGTGCTGATTACAAGGCTGAGAACTAACCACTTATATATTTCATCAACTAAAATTGAACAGTTCCAGAACACTCTCCAAACGAAAATCCAAATGAAAGGGCGAATAAGGAAGGAGGCAATGAAACCCGGCTCTTGATTGCAGCTCGGCTGTGCAGCTAAAGCCTCGGTGCTGATTATGTTTCTGTAGCTGTGCTCCACGGCTACACCGGCTGATTAGCAAGTCTAATGAACATGCATGTGGAGTGTCTGCGAACGGCACCTTGCATTGGCTTGACAGGGCTGCTGGTTTGCGCTAACAACGTGTAACTTCAGTTTACATTTGCATACAGTTTCATGTCATCTGAGCTTTATAACAGGTCCCACTGCGATGAGGTTCTGCAGCTTTTAACCTTCCACAGCAAATGCTAGTCTCATTAGATCCAAAAAATGACTGCTTGCAATAGAGATTTAAGAGATAGTTGAGCCAAAACTCTCTGGAAGACAAAAATATATATTTTGGAGAATGTTGGTGACCAAATTGTTTCAGGTCCCATTGACTTCTATAGTCTTTTTTGTCCATACTATGGAAGTCAATGGGACTCAAAACTGTTTGGAGACCAACATCCTTCTGTGTTCCACAGAAAAAAGAAAGCCATACTGTCATACAAGTTTGAACCAACATGAGGGTAAGTAAACGAAGACCGAATTTTCATTTTTGGGCCAACTATTCCTTTAAAGTTTCCTGTTTTGTCTACAGTCACTGAAAAAAAACTGATTCCAGTACCCATTGAGCATGAGACTTGGGTCACTAAGGAACTTCAGGGTGGAAAGATGGATGTGATCCAAGGAGACTGCAAGAAAAAACAGCTTGTCCCTTTCAAAGAACACCTCACAAGAATTCAGTCCAAAACACTTACTCACAAACTCGTGGATGTGAACCACATGCAGACAAACTCACATACACCTGCTGGCCACCGTCTCGTCTTCTTCAGCTTCAGACGGATGCTTGCTGCAGTAAATCCAACCTTTATTAGACAGCCAGATGACCGAATATGAGAGCGCTCTGAACCTGCACTGAGCCATGAGGTCATATTCATACTAATATATTCACCAGGAGCAGAAAAAGCCAGCAGGGTTTCAGTTAACCTCTTATAGAAAAATATTCAGACTGAATGCAAATTATAGGGGGATTTGAGGGGCTCTGACCACCCTAATCTAAAATAGAAATCTTTAGCAACATTATAAATGTATTTACTGTCACATTAAAAAACGTATTAACTTCTTTCCAAAAAATCATACTGACTCCAATCTTTTGAATGTTATAGCGTACATGTATATACGTATGTACTATATGTGCAATTCTTGTCATTCCCTCTATTTACTGCCTTCAGGAAGCAATAAATGTATAGTGACATGTGTGTGTTTGTATGTGTTTGAATATGTTTTCGCATTTGTCCGGCTGAGCAGACATGCTGGCTGCCAAACTCCTACACAGTGGCTTGGGCTCATGCTCTGTTTACGTCTGGTGTGTATACACGAGTGTGTTGAAAATTACACAATGCCAGTCTTCATTGTATAACTTTCCAGTCACAGTTCGACTCCATTCAGTGGCCTATTTCCTCATGACAGGCCATGGCTCTGTAACACCACTTATAGTTATTATGTAATACTAAATTGCAGCGTCTCTTCCAAACCTTGAATGGTATGAGTACGGGAGGAATAGCTATCAATGAATAGCTGTCAAAAATCAATGACAGCTTTGCACACAAGATTTCTGACACAAATAATTTTCCCTCCTACCACAACTTATGTATGACAGCCGACTGACAGCTGTAGAATATAGTCATGAAGAATAAGTGTTATCCTCTTCTGCAACAATACAAAACAAGTAGAGAAATCAAACCCAAGCCCATCTAAAGTGAAACTGAAACTACACTGAATAATACAAGACTAGCGATGCACTAATATTACAATTATGGACAATAAATATAATCTGATAATTACTTTCATGTTATTGCCAATAACCAATAAACATTATATATATATA